AACGTGAGAAAAGACGCCCCCCCCCCCCCCCCCAGAAACCAACAGTAATTTGTTCTAGCTTCCACAGCTGTGAAGAGGCTGAATGCATTCAAAATGAGGAAGTCTTGAAGAAAGACACTGGGGTTTGTGCATTTTGTGCAGGTGCATATTCACTAGACCTGTTGCTTAAATACAGAAAGGAATTTACTTTGGCAGGATGCTTCCACATCCTAGTATGCACTTTGTATGTTGCATTAGGAGATGCAACGTTCTGACCCTGTAAAATTCTCCACGTAATTGGTGGTTGGGGAAAGGAGGAGATAGAGGGAATGAAATGAATCTAGAAGCTGCAGGTGTGGGGACAGGGGAAGGTGTTGCATCTCCTTCAAAAAAAAGAAAACATACATCTTCCTGATCCTTAGTGAGAAGACTTCTGAATAGTATTCTGCTCCCTATGAACATGCGAGGCAAAAACTTGTACACAAAAGTCTCTTATCAACACCAGATCTGGGTTAAGCTCCAGAACGCGTTTTGATATGTTTGTGCTATTAAGTGGAGTCAAAACTTAACTGTAATTAAAAATTTATTTTTTTTAATTGTGTACATCTGTGTGTATTGGTTTGCTGTTGACGATGAAGACACATCTGTGACACTTGCCAATAAGACTTTAGCCAGATCTAGAATTTGTAAATGTGCAAAATTGCCATTGTCAAAATCTTAGGCTTTCATCTCTACCAGAAGAAAAATGCAGCTGTGCATGCTTGTGCATTATGCTGTCCAGTTGACTGATTGACTCAACAGCAGCTGTTACCTGACAGAGCTTACCAGTATCTTATCACTTTCTCACTGATTTGTTTGATAATTATACCTCTTTGAGCCAAGTAAAATTGATCTGTCTTTAGTTTGTAACTTAGTGGAACAAAATGAAAGTTATCTATGCCCAATATGTGATAAAAGCAAATGAAAATGGAGGAGAGACACTACTGAAGATTTATTTGAAATAATTGAAAAATGAGGAAAATACAGTCCCCTACAAATTTTCAATAACAACATTCATGACTATTTCAGAATACATACATGGTGAGGTAACTTTAAAAGATGTTGTTCTGAGATTCCATCTAACTTCAGTATTTGAAACTCTTCTTTTGTTTAGAAGAAGAAATTACAAAGGATAATGTGGAGAATGCAGCATTAGAAGAACCAGGGGAGGCTGCAGAGCTTTCTGCAGATGATGTGGAAGAGACTGCAGATGTAAAAGATCTCTCAGATGGAGAAGATGCAGCAAATTCAAGCGCTGATGACTCAGAGGAGGATTTACCACCTAGAAAAGAATCAGGGGAAGAAGATATGGAAGACTTAAGTGAACAACCTTTAGTTGATTCAGAGACTGAAAGCTCAGTAAGACAGCGTAAAAATCAGGTGGCTGATAATGGACTGTAGTTTTTTCAGCAGTGTAGTTCGTACACTTGGACCAAAGAAATATCAGACCCGGGGTCTGAAGCTTACACTTGATTTGTCATTTGTGTTTACGCAAAACCTCTGCTCTGTCAGCAGGCTTCTCTTTTTTTTAAGTTAATACTTGCTTACTTAATTTGTTTTATAAGCACATATGCTGTGTGTTGTGTAACTTCAGCCATGACAATCAAAGTAAGTGTATCTTATCTGTTTGAAGTCTTCTAAGAGAAAAGGGGTGTAACAGTCTCCGTTCACCAGCTGTAAAATGGTCATCTGTGCTTGTGTTCCTTTAAATATTGACCTAGGCAAGATCAGGACTTTTAACTCTTTATGGTAGCTTGGTAGGACTGTGACTTTTCTGTCTGAGCGTTTATTGTTTCCAAATGTCACAGAAGCACCAGGTAAGTGATACAGTAGTGAAAGAAGGCACCTTACTAGTCTTCTATTAAAAATGTTGTGTACGATGGTTTTATTTTTATCACTTTCAACTGAAGCACCTTTCTCTTTCAATTTTATTAATGTTTGTTTTGAAAGTTTGTCATACAGTATGCCCCCCAGATTTTTCAGTTTTTGGTAATTCGGAGGCATGCTGCACAGCCCAAGTTTGCCAGCTGGGTTTTTTGACCCAAGGAGTTTGAGTAATTGAAAATCTCAGGCCAAGAAAGAATGGCAGCTAAATTTTTAAAATGTTTGAACTTTTTTTAAAAGTTTATAGGAAATTATTTTGGTCAGGGGATTTTTGCCAAAGCGTGACTTTTTTTTTTCCCTTCAAAAGATTGTAGCAAGAATTATTCACTTTGCAGTCAGTAAGTTGTATATTTCTTGCCAATACAAGCTTGTCATATGCAGTGCAGTTCTGCCATTTCCAACTCAGAATACTTTTGGCAGATCTCAAACTGCTTTAGTAATACTAACTGAAGAGGCACTTAAGATTTTACCTTTGATCGCTTTTCTACTTTTTGTTACTGGAATCAGCACAAAGAGCAGGGCATGGGTGGGTAGCGGGGAGAAGCTTTTGGTTTTGCTACTTGTTATCAAGATAAACGTGTGTCTATTGAACTGTGTAAAGTGAAAATGGCTTGCCAGGTAGACAGCATTAGGTGTGGTTAGAAGGCTTAAGTCATTAAAGATATCAGTATTTCCCTCTTTGACTTGGTTAATATATAAGACTTCTTTTTTTGGTAAGGAATACATACAGTGAGATCCTGTACGTTCCTATTCTGTTGATGTGTGATCATTGTGCATAAGATGTGTCTTAATCTTGGGGTGTTTTTATATATATATATATATATATATTTTGCATAAACCTTGCTAACATGCATGAATTTCACCTTGTTCTTGAAGAATAAAGAGTAATCAGAGATGACATCATCTCTCATTACAAGAGACAAGTTGCAAGTGCAAAATGCTGGTTTCCTTTGCGACTGAGATTAATAGGGCCAATTTGCGTTGAGAGTTGTTTTGGATTTGTTTTGGTTTTTTAAATGCTCATAAAGAACATATTTACTAAGAAAGCTTAGTTTTCCTGTTCGTGTCCTGTTGCATATTGTGTCTTGGAACTATATGGTAGAAACTTTGCATTTGTCTGTTACAGCTGTGCAAAGAACAAAATTACACTGCATCTAATGAATATGAATTTTCTTAAGGAACATTCACAGTCTGGAGCTTGAGTTTCCTACAGTGGACACATGTAAATATTCTTTCACATATGTGAAAACATACAGTTGATAATATATATACATTGCACTATAATGAGAAGAGTTTGTCTTGTGTTGTTTGGGTGTTGTCCCATGTAACTGAGCAATTGTTGAAGCTTACAGACAGCAGAACTCAGTAGCAGTTGAGGTAAGTAACAACCTTTTTATTTTTTTTTTAAAAAAATAAACTCAAAAAACTTCAAAGTCAAGCTAAGCTTTTATTGGCAAAAATTAAGAAGACGTTGTGGCCACTGTAGTCTGGAGGGAAGAACTGTGCACCTAAAAGCTCAAAGTACAGATTTCTTGTTTTCATGATGTATTTGCTTTTTTCATTATCTGTGCATCAGGAACTCATAAAAGTCTGAAAAAAAACCAAGAGCTCAACCATATTTCATGAGACAAGCAGGAGTTGGTGTGTATATTCAGTTACGTGAACTTGCATAAGATAAGAACAGACATAGCCCCTCAGTCATGGATCCAAAACTACCAGCATAGATTGAGGGCAATGATGACTTCGGTTGTGTGCCAAAGAGGATATTTCATGCTGCGTAAGGTCCTGTGATACTCGGTGTTTAGAAGGGAGCCTGTCAATATTAAATTCTTATTCAATTTCTCCACTTTCGCAATATCATGGAGCCAGCCGTCTAATATCCTCTTCAACTGTTTAAAGAGGTTTTAACTTTAAAAGATAACAGAACATCCTTATAGCTCACAGTGGCTTTGTTGGATGCTGTTGGGAATAGGAAGTATTAAAAAGTCAAGTGTACCTGTTTTCAGTGCTTACAATTGAGGTAGAGGGTTTTTTTTAATCTTTAGACAAAGAAGGTGTTCTCATAAGAGTTGGATTTCATTATGGTGTCTTTGAATTTAAAAAACAAAAACGCAAACCACGAATGACACTTTGTCCTACAAGATACATGGTTTATGAGATCCTGTGAGAAAGATCAGAAGCTCCTCTGTGTGGTGATTCTCTGAAGGCTCTGCTTACACCTCCTCTGGTTTTGCATGTCACTGTTGAGTTTGGATTATTTAAAATTAAGATATTAAGTATTTTCCATCATAATAGACCTAACTGTAAGATCCCTCTGATGAGCAGGGGATAAGTAAGCAGGCAGCAACAGCAGTTCCATCTCTTCCTAGATCTGTCTTGTGAATCTGGAGATCAGCTGTACTAGGCTTCTAAGGTTTCTTGAACATAGTGTGTTAGGACAAGAGGAAACGGTCTCAGGTTGCGCCAGGGGAGGTTCAGGCTGGACGCTAGAAACAACTTCTTCACTGTTAGAGTCGTTAAGCATTGGAACGGGCTCCCCAGGGAGGTGGTGAAGTCACCATCCCTGGAGATGTTCAAAAAATGTTTAGATGTGGCACTTCAAGACATGGTTTAGTGGGTTTAGCGGGCATGGTGGCATCGGGTATACGGTTGGACTTGATGATCTTTGAGGTCTCTTCCAACCATAATGATTCTATGTATGTCATTGCTCCTGTGTTTTCATTAATGAAGTAGGGAATGTTAATGCTAACGTGGGTTTGCCTGTATTTGACATGTATTGGTGTATCTTATTGCAAAGATCACTAACTTGTGATTAACACTTTAGAAAAATGGGAGCTATGCAACCATTGATATCTCCAACTTAGTTTTACATTTGTAGGAAGAATATTGTAGCAAGATACTGGAGATTGCTCAACTTTGACTAATGTTTATCTGGCAAACAACAAGTGGCAAACACTGTAAAGGCTAACTTTGTGTTTAACAGAAAGACCACTAGCTATGCAGTAGAAGGGTAATGTTAATATGCTTTCCAGAATCACAGCTTTTTCCACTAAAACATGTTTTAATTGAATCACATGAGTATAGTACTAATTAGGCTCTTATAATAGCATTAAACTTGGTATGTTTCCAAAAGTCAATATCAACCTTTTGTGCAATTTAAGCATTTTGTTATCTCTGTTCTCTTATGTTTAATTTCAAAAAATGGAACTTGTTCTTGCAACCTCAGTAGAGACAAAATGTCCTCGGAGAAGCTGCTGTTAACACTGTTCAAAATGTTTTCATTAAGGATAGGGCTGTAAGGCTTGTAAACTAGAGCTGTATGTCAAAAATGACTGAAGATTTTTGAGAGCCAATTTACATTTCAAATGGGCTGCATACCACTCTGAAAACCAGTCCCTGGTGGATCTGAACGTGAATGCTTAAAAGCAAGTCATTCAAAAATTCCAGTGGGTTACCTTTTAAAGGGGCTAGAAATACATACAGCCTTTCAAAACTGCTGTCCTCAAGGTTAGTGTGAAACTTATGTGTGCGTCTTGGAATACTCTGTATGTGCTGCACCCGTGCTGGGCAACACTTGTTACGTGGGCTGCCTTCATGGAGATGTTATACAGGATTGTCTTTTATGTGAAAGTGTGGCAAATGTATACTATGGGTACTTTTACAGAAATTCCCTATAAATTTTGTATTTATGATCTTGAAGTTTTCACTTTCTCAGTGTGTAGGTGGCTAATCTCCATAATTAACAAAAGATTTTATTTTTTTTAATACTGATCTTCTAATTAATAATAGAGGTTGTGACTTGTGAAGATTCCTTAAACTGTTTAAAACAAACCTGTACATTAATGAATTGCTTCTGTCGTACGCTTGGAAGAAGCGTACCTAGGTTGAGGGTTTCACTGCGGTAACTCTGGGCTGAGCAGTGCGCTCTCAAGGTATAAAAAGCAGCTGGGGCTCAAGTGCAGGCTGCCGGGAAAAATAGTGTAACGCTGAACCCGTGAGAGCTTCACTTCACTGTTACGTCGGTCTTTTCCCCTCCCTGAGAAATCCACTCGCTCTACAAATGCTGTACTAACTCCCTCTGGGATTTGGAGGACAGCAGTACGTTCCTCCCTAGCGATGTGGTCCAAAAGAAGTGTACCGATGTCAGTGGCCCATCTTCTGACGGTCGTTCGTGGCAAGCCGTCATTGCTGAAGAAATGGGCCGTAGGGCCAGGTGTGCTGGAGGGAGAAGGGACTGCCAGGACCCATCGCTGCGAGGTGTTTGGGTGATGTGAGCAACTGCTGGATCCAGTACATGGATTCATTCTCTTCAGGTGAGTTTCCTCAGCTGCCTTTCACTGTGAACAGAACATGCATGGGTGTGGGTGATTGCCATCCACTTTGGTTTTCTTCTTCTCCATTGCGTTGGTTTCCTCATGTAAAGTTGAAGGGGGAATGGTCTCGAATGAAGCCTTTGTGAGCACGTTGTCGGTTTACTATTTAATCAACTGCTTCTTCTCTGTCTCATGATGTGAGAA